GCAAAGCAGCGATGGAGGTTCTCGTAGAGCGCGAGAAATCACCTGATGCAAGGGGGCTGCGTAGAGCTACATCGTGCAGAACCTGCGCCTTTCGGAATCCTTCTTTTTGTGTCACAGCCTCTTCTCATCACACAGCCTATTCTACCGCGCCACCGAACTTTCGCAAGACAGCGTCGATTCGTTAATGTTAGGCGCAAATCTACGCTCGGCACTAAGCGCTCTGCCACTGCGCTTCAATCGAGAACAGCAGTGTGCCGTCTGCGCCACGATCAACAGCAAGCACAGCAAACCACAAAACCCCACACCCTGACTTAAGCATCCCTTTCTGTAATGGCCTCCCCGGCGTCTTTGCAAAGACGAACGTGCTCTGACAGTCATGCGGACCGGAGACTTAGGCCACCCCCATTCGGCCGAGATATGGGGTCACCCCGCTCTGCCATGGGGATATCAGGCGAAGGCTCTCAACGACCACTAGCAGCTGCAAGCATTTGCCCGCGCTATGCTTATGTCGCCCTCTGCTCGCAAAGAAGCAGCACGTCGTGGTCGTCGTGGTGCCATCCCAGAGTTCGCAGCGGATGCCCCCGACATTGTGTACCTTCTGCTGGACTTGGCCAACAGCTTGGCGCAAGAGCCGAACGTCGGGTCGGCCATGGCAAGAGCGGTAGTCGAATTTAGTTCGACTGTGGCGCGGGTACGTGGCATCAAATGGTAGCTGCCAAAACTGGCGAGCATGCAGCTGCCGTTTGTTAGAACACGATACATCAAACCCCATTCTGAACATGTTGGCACGCTGGCTTCGACAAACACAACCGAACAGCAAGCCAAGCAAGGTGCTCTGCTCAATAACACAACCACGTCCCAAGAACGGACGGCCCCCCTTCTTTGTTCGGAACCTGGAAGTCTGGCCCGGACAACAGGATCCAAGGTCGCGGAAATCCAGCCTTTGCCCCAGCACGGCGCATTAGCCCATAAGCCCGGCTGTCATCCCCCCCTGCCCGGGGCTAGGTTGGCCTCAAAGCAAAACCGAACGCCTCACACCTGGCCAACGGTGTCGAGAGCAACCCGGAAGGGGCAGGGGTCGGCTCCCGACGTAAGGCAAACATTCGAAGATCGACCGGCACTCTGCCTCTGTTGATTCAAGTGCACAACAACACAGACATGTCACAAGATTCGATCAAGCTCGACTCAATATCAACCGTCTCCAAAGCCCGCGTGCTTAAAGTGTTAGAGTAAGGCTCGTGCAGCAAAGCAGCGATGGAGGTTCTCGTAGAGCGCGAGAAATCACCTGATGCAAGGGGGCTGCGTAGAGCTACACATCGTGCAGAACCTGCGCCTTTCGGAATCCTTCTTTTTGTGTCACAGCCTCTTCTCATCACACAGCCTATTCTACCGCGCCACCGAACTTTCGCAAGACAGCGTCGATTCGTTAATGTTAGGCGCAAATCTACGCTCGGCACTAAGCGCTCTGCCACTGCGCTTCAATCGAGAACAGCAGTGTGCCGTCTGCGCCCAACGACTCACGACGAAGCGGCATGTGAAGGCGAAACCATCCGGGGTTCTGGGGGGTCTTTTCCAACAGGCCCATTTCCTCAGTGGCAGCGACAAGAGAATTGTTAAGGCAAGGACACCCAGGCTTTCGAGGTTGTTATTCCACACGCAAATGTCAACTTTTATTGCAAGACACCATGAGCGTCGTGTACCCCATCGGCGTAAAGGTGATAGCGTGAGGCGTGAGCTCTGACGGTGTGAGGATCACCCGAACGTCCAGTGGGAATTTCTCCATCCCACGTCGTCATGTCCGAGTCCAGGCACCGATGAATGGCCTCGACCGACCGTTATACTAGCAACAGCAGACTTTGCATGTGCTAGCACGGGCATGCCACAGCAAGCACAGCCGAGATGCCAAAACGGCGGTAGGACGAAGTCCCCAGCGGTTCTTGAAGGAACCCACGACTGCCTGTCCGGCCAACACCTGATCGGATTGAATGGGCGTCAAACCCACGTAGACTCGCACCTCCGTCACGACGGGAATGGCCATGGCTCCGGAATGCATCTGGGGAGGCACCGAGCTTTCGCGAGACAGCGTCGACTGGCAAATATGAACAGGATGGAGCCAAAGCTTCGTCTACAAATCGTCAAGCTGTGGAGACCTCACGTCCCTCTTAGGCCTGACATGTACAGCATCAAGGACGAAAGACTTTAAAGGATTCTATCGCTGCCATGCTATACCTTGCATATCTACCCAGCCACGCCTGTCCTGCAAGGGTTGTAAGTAGACAATCAAACGTTGTCCTCCGCCGGCGTCGTCCACGCTGGCTCTTTCGCAAGACAGCGTCGAAGCCATGCAGCAACGAGTGAAACTAGGGAAACTACTGAAGGCGGTGCAAAGCCAAGAGCACGTAGTCGCGGCGTCTCCACGCTCTTAGAGCTGGTCGAGCCGCTAAAATGCGCCCCACAGCTTCCGCCGCGCTGCACCTTGTGTCCTGCATCAACCATGCGCAAAGGGCCGCAGGGCTGCGATTGATGCCGCCGAAGCAGTGGAAGAGCACGTTGAAGTCCTTGCCCTCCTTTCTGCAGGCTGTGCGTGCACTCGACAGAGCATCAGCCATGCCTTTCCAAGTTTGGGTGCAGTTCTGCGTGCATTCCAAGAACCAGTCCGGATGCTGGCTGTACCTGACCTGGTGGTCGTCCAGCTCGACTTGCAAGTGACGCACACCGCAATCGAGGAAGTGCTTGTTCCAATCTCTCGGAGTTCCTTTCACTTGCATCTCTGTTTTCCAACAAATGCTGACAACAACTGTAACGGGAACTTTCGTGTGCAACTCCACATGGAGGAGGTCCGCAGCCGAGCGCAAGCTGCCGAGCAGACACTTCTCGCCGGGCTCGGAGCTCACCACCACAGCGTCGAGAGGCCACTCCGAGATGTCCCCGAAGTTGTAGGACTCGCCCAAAACAATGTAGTCCATGTCCGACCAAGGTCCATGCTCGTATTTGTTTGCAATTTCGAGCTGCCAAGTTCGAATAAATGTTTCTTCCGCATCTGACATCGCTGACGAAGCAGAAGAAGCAGAAGACGAAGAAGCGGCCAGGGCATCCATATGTGCAAAGTAGCAAGCAGGCTCGAAGGAACTAGGTCTCTCGGGCCAAAGCTGTCAATACAAGCAAGCAGAGAGAACACTCCGGTCACGACAATTCGCTCCACGCGATCCCTCACTTCCTGCCATTCTCCAGGCTGATCATTTCCACGATCTCGTCCTCAGACGTTTCCGTGATTACCTTGATAATCTCGGTGATTTTACCACTGGATGATGCATGTGCTACAGTAATGGTCCAGGTGATTGGGTCTCGTGCGACAGCAGCTTTGGCCGCGAGCTAGACACACAGCCCGCTGGCGGAAGGCAGCTTTCGCAAGACAGCGTCGACTGCTCCGTGTGAGACGTTTGCAAAACCGTACCCTCGCTTGCTGCAGGTCCGTGACCTGCAGCACAAGGATTGAGAGGGTCGGCATATCCTTCTCACAAGACAAAAACTACACCTTGTCTCCAGTCACCTTGTCTCCTGTTTTCCAGGTCTCGCAAGACAGGCCAAAGGAGCCAGTACACTACATAAAGCACATCCGTGTTCACTTGAATCTGCGGGAAGTCGAAGTCCGGCTCGTTGGGTGGGAAAAGGTACTCGGGGTATCCTAAGGACACCCTCGCATCCAGATACTCACCAATGAGACGATTCACATTTCCAGGCAGGCCTTGCAACTCCAAACTATCAGCACCCGAGGTCCATAGCAGCGCCACAGTGATGGCCACGGGAGCCGACATCTAAACTGCTATCATCGCGCCGAGCTTGAGCCGGTTGTGCAGCTGAAGCAGGAATGTCAAGGTCGGTGTCGATTCGAATGTGCGTCGCAGGACACGCCCAACTTTACATTCCGTTGCAAGGCTGCCTAGGATGCCGGAAGAGCCCCTCCGCTGTCGGTTGGAAACCGACAGCGGAGGCCAGACACGCAATCCACTCGCGAAATGCAGCTTTCGCAAGACAGCGTCGACTGCTCCGCGTGGGGACTTTTTGCAAAACAATACTATCGTTGCTTCGAACAGGTCAGTGACCTGCAGAAAAAAAGGGACCTCAAGGCGCACGGAAGCCGTGCAACGGCATTCCCGGCGCGAACTCCGGGTCCATAATTTCTTGGATCCTGCGCAGCAGCTGCACGATCCTTTCGTGTTCCCGAGACCAATCTTGCATGGTACGCATCAGCTCAGCTAACTGCACGTTCATTCGCGCTTGATCCAGCAGCATGTTGTTCAGCTGACCTTGAAATGTATGCACAAGGACCTCATAATTCACTGGAGTGGGGTACACGTTTGCATTCGCGCTGGTGTCCGATCCAACTCCATCCTCGCGAGAATCCTGTTGCGCTTGGTCCGGACCCTTCCACCGTGGATGTAGTTGCATCTCCAGGATGGGGATCCATGGCGCCAAACAGACACGAAGAACGGAATCTAACTCAGCAGCTGCGTGGAAGAATGTAGCATGCGAGCAGGAGCAGCCAAGATTCGCCTTCGCTATCAATGAAGCTGCCTGAGCTCGCTCCTACCTGACAAGACGCCATGGAACAAACAGCATTTTTGTCGTGTCAAGGCCGAGAGAATCGCGCATCTAAGACTCAATCAGCGGCTTTAGAACATCACTGCTACGTGCAGAGGCTAGATACAGCCCACTGGCGGATTGCAGCTTTCGCAAGACAGCGTCGACTGCTCCGCGCGGGGACCGTCGCAAAACTGCACCCTCGCTTCGAGGAGGTTCAGTCAATGCAGCCCACTGGCGAAATGCAGCTTTCGCAAGACAGCGTCAACTGCTCCGCACGCGGACCCTTGCAAAACTCCACCCTCGCTTCGAGGAGTTTGAGTCAACGCAGCCCACTGACGGAAAGCAGCTTTCGCAAGACAGCGTCGACTGCTCCGCGCGGGGACCTTCGCAAGACTCTACCCTCGCTTCCAGGAGGTTCAGTTCATTTCCCAAGCGCTGCACTTCACTTTCGATGGCGTCTCCTGCACGAGGCTGCTGGCAGGTCGTTTGTTGCTTTGCAACGCCGGTCCGCCCTTGAGGAGGTTCCAGACCATCTCACGCTCCTTCGAGAATGTCGTGATCTGCTCAGGTGTCACTTTCGACATCCATTCCACCTGCAAAACCACCTCCTGGGTTGCAGCATTCTTGATCACACGGCCCAAGATCAAGCGCGGAAGGCCGTCTGCCATGTTGAAGAGGAAGCAATTTGTGAATTGACAAAAAGCCTCGATCCCGAATGCCTTTCTGTCTCCTACACGCTCGAGCGTGTGCGAGTACACCTCCTTGTGCTTCGTCAACAGGTGCTTCTCCTCGTCCTTGAACACCTCCTCCACGGTGGGCTCGTCCTCGGCAAAGGCCACAACGGTCACGTAGTTTGCGAAGACACCCTCTATCGTGAAGAAGGTGCCCATGTCTGAGCACATCAAATCGGCAATCGGACACTGGACTGGCAGCACAGCACCATCTCGCTTCTCGGTCGCAAGACGGGTGATCTTTTTCACCATCGAACGCCGGTCCTCGTCGTACTCCTCCCCGAAGCAGGCGCGAGCTGCCAAGACTTGAAACTGGGTCGGGGCAGCAAGTCCGCCGGTCACACTCGCCTGCGAAGCTTGCTGCGCGGAGCCCCCCCGCGGTTGGCCGAGGAGGCGGTGCGACGTGCCCAGCCGTGCGTCGCACGGCCCCCTGAAGCAGACTGCCTCACTGCCTTTCAACTGGATCAACTCAACCAGCTTCTCTTCGTCACGGACCCGGGCCAGCGCCGCCAGCTCCGGTCCTCCCACAAGCACGTTGCTGAGCTGCCCCGTCCAGTCCGCCAAGTGCACGGTGGCCAGCACTCGCTGGGCATCCGCAGGCTCCGTCTGACATCCATCGGTGGCACGCTTGCACTTACCGGAAGTTGGGTCGATCTTCGTGGAGCACACTTTGCACGGAGTATAGACTGGATCCCCAACGATGTCGACGAGCCAGACGTTGTGCAGGGCCACTTCGACTTTCTCCTGCGCCAAGCAAAGTCATGCAAGTTGGGGCACGGGAAAGCAGCTTCTACACAACAGAAACACGCGAAGGCAGTCCTGCGTTGATCCCTGCTCCATTGCGCTGCCGAATGCATTCATAGTTGCGGCGCATGCGACGTAGCAGGGCCCCAAGTCAGTGGTCAGCCTGCCGCCACCACTCAAGGAAGGGCACCAAGGAACGGAGATGCGATCGCCTTGCGTGGGTTCCAGATCCCGAAGCTCCTGTGCCCGATCGCCTTTGGGGTCCACGTGCAGCATACTAAAGCCGTGCTTGTCGTTGTCGATGAAATGTTCCGCGGCGCCTTCGATGGAATCGTTCTCCTTCTTCAGCAGGGAAAGGTTGTCGATCTGAACGACGCTACCTTTGTGCGCGTTAGCCAGACTCTTTACGAAGCGGTCGCCCCAGATGTTCACCAGCATCTCCTTGCCCGACGTGTCTTTTAACCAGAGGTTGGCTTTGGGCTTGGAGGTATTCGGCATCTCGAGCTCCGTGACCAGTCCAATGACATCCACACGCTCGCGCCCTTGGCACTGTGTCGCCAACACCGAGAAGTCCGACCTTGCAACGGGGAAGAGGGACTTCATCTCCATCGCCGACGGGTGGGAAGAAGCAACCGGAATCACTTTGGCCCTCGAGGCTCTGTCTGACAAATCCACATAGAGCCCAGCGAAGAATTTGTTACTGACCGGCTTGAGGTGCGTGGCATAGAAGACATCCTTGTTCCAGGGATCAGCCACCTTCTTCAGAGTGGAGGCGTCCGACGCGCGAAGCTCCGCGTACAGACCCTTGCCGTCTTTGTCCACGAAGCGCATAATCATTTTGCACCAGGAACCTCCTCTGCATTGGGCATTTGCTTGATTTCACAGTAGACGTAGCGAAGCAAAACCTTCATGGAAGCGTGGTTTTGCTTAGTGAGGCGCTCCAAGGTGGTTTCAATCAAGTTGTTCTGCGCCATCGGCAAGGCAGGCTAGCAGCACACTGAGCTTTCGCAAGACGGCGTTCACCCAGAGCACCAGCTGCACACTGAGCTTTCGCAAGACAGCGTCCACCCAGGACACCGCCGAAACACTAAGAGCAAAAGGCAATTTGAACCCAAGCTACGCAGCCAGGGGAGGCACTTCCAGCCTAAGAGGTAGAGACATGCACCAGCAAGCACCAGTTCGAGCTCACACGGTCTGTTTTTTCTTGCAAGACAGCATCCATTCGGATCCGTGAACATGGCAGTGCGAGCAGGAACAGCCAAGATTCGCCTTCGCTATCAATGAAGCTGCCTGAGCTCGCTCCTACCTGACAAGACGCCATGGAACAAACAGCATTTTTGTCGCGTCAAGGCCGAGAGAATCGCGCATCTAAGACTCAATCAGCGGCTTTAGAACATCACTGCTACGTGCAGAGGCTAGATACAGCCCACTGGCGGAATGCAGCTTTCGCAAGACAGCGTCGACTGCTCCGCGCGGGGACCGTCGCAAAACTGCACCCTCGCTTCGAGGACAGCGTCAACTGCTCCGCACGGGGACCCTTGCAAAACTCCACCCTCGCTTCGAGGAGTTTGAGTCAACGCAGCCCACTGGCGGAATGCAGTTTTCGCAAGACAGCGTCGACTGCTCCGCGCGGGGACCTTCGCAAGACTCTACCCTCGCTTCCAGGAGGTTCAGTTCATGTCCCAAGCGCTGCACTTCACTTTCGATGGCGTCTCCTGCACGAGGCTGCTGCCAGATCGTTTGTTGCTTTGCAACGCCTCTTCGTGCTTCCTCACCAGGTGCTTCTCCTCGTCCTTGTACACCTCCTCCACGGTGGGCTCGTCTTCGGCAACGGCCACGACGGTCACGTAGTTTGCGAAGACACCCTCTATCGTGAAGAAGGTGCCCATGTCTGAGCACATCAAATCGGCAATCGGACAATGGACTGGCAGCACAGCACCATCTCGCTTCTCGGTCGCAAGACGGGTGATCTTTTTCACCATCGAACGCCGGTCCTCGTCGTACTCCTCCCCGAAGCAGGCGCGAGCTGCCAAGACTTGAAACTGGGTCGGGGGAGCAAGTCCGCCGGCCACACTCGCATGCGAAGCTTGCTGCGCGGAGACCCCCGGGGTCGGCCGAGGCGGTGCGACGTGCCCAGCCGTGCGTCGCACAGCCCCCTGAAGCAGACTGCCTCACTGCCTTTCGACTGGATCAACTGAACCAGCTCCTCTTCGTCACGGACCCGGGCCAGCGCCGCCAGCTCCGTTCCTCCCACAAGAACATTGCTGAGCTGCCCCGTCCAATTCGCCAAGTGCACGGTGGCCAGCCCTCGAGGCTGGGCATCCGCAGACTCCGTCTGACATCCATCCATGGCGCGCTTGCACTTACCGGTCACTGGGTCGATCTTCGTGGTGCATACTTTGCACGGAGCATAGACTGGATTCCCAAGGACGTCGACGAGCCAGACGTTGTGCAGGGCCACTTCCACTTTCTCCTGCGCCAAGCAAAGTCATGCAAGTTGGGGCACGGGAAAGAAGCTTCTACACATCAGAAACACGCGAAAGCAGTCCTGCGTTGCTCCCTGCTCCTTTGCGCTGCCGAATGCATTCATAGTTGCGGCGCATGCGACGTAGCAAGGCTCCAAGTCGGAGATCAGCCTGCCGCCACCACTCAAGGAAGGGCACCAAGGAACGGAGATGCGATCGGCTTGTGACGTGCCCAGATCCCGAAGCTCCTGTGCCCGATCGCCTTTGGGGTCCACGTGCAGCATACTAAAGCCGTGCTTGTCGTTGTCGACGAAATGTTCCACGGTGCCTTCGATGGAATTGTTCTCCTTCTTCAGCAGGGAAAGGTTGTCGATCCGAACGACGCTACCTTCGTGCGCGTCAGCCAGACTCTTTACGAAGCGGGCGCCCCAGATGTTCACCAGCATCTCCTTGCCCGATGCGTCCTTCAACCAGAGATTGGCTTTGGGCTTGATCGTACTCGGCATCTCGAGCTCCGTGACCAGTCCAATGACATCCACACGCTCTCGGTGTTGGCACTGTGTCGCCAACACCGAGAAGTCCGACCTTGCAACGGGGAAGAGGGTCTTCATCTCCATCGCCGACGGGTGGGAAGAAGCAACCGGAATCACTGTGGCCCTCGAGGCTCTGTCTGACAAATCCACATAGAGCCCAGCGAAGAATTTGTTACTGACCGGCTCGAGGTGCGTGGCATAGAAGACATCCTTGCTCCAGGGATCAGCCACCTTCTTCAGAGCATTGGCGTCCGACGCGCGAAGCTCCGCGTACAGACCCTTGCCGTCTTTGTCCACGAAGCGCATAATCATTTTGCACCAGGAACCTCCTCTGGCATTGGGCATTTGCTTGATTTCACAATAGACGTAGCGAAGCAAAACCTTCATGGAAGCGTGGTTTTGCTTAGTGAGGCGCGCCAAGGTGCCATCAATCAGGTTGTTCTGCGCCATCGGCGAGGCAGGCAAGCAGCACCCTGAGCTTTCGCAAGACAGCGTTCACCCAGAGCACCAGCTGCACACTGAGCTTTCGCAAGACAGCGTTCACTGCACACTGAGCTTTCGCAAGACAGCGTTCACTCAGAGCACCGCCGAAACACTAAGAACAAAAGGCAATTTGAACCCAAGCTACGCAATGAGGCACTTCCAGCCTCAGAGCTAGAGAGACATGCACCAGCAAGCACCAGTTCGAGCTCACATGGTCTGTTTTTTCTCGCAAGACAGCATCCATTCGGTTCCGTGAACATGGCAGAGCAGTGCATAACTCGCAAGAGAGCCCTGTCCTTGTGGCCAAGCTTCCTGGCAATGCCGCGGTCTTTCAGGAGACGGTGTCCAATCGCGGGCGTGGATCCTGCAAATAATGGCAAATGGATCGGCAGACAGGCACCAAGCAGCGCTGTGCAGCTCGGTTCAGGTACGCTGCAATGCCACACCACGTCATGCGTGCAGCACGGAAGGCCGACCAAGGCCGGCATGATGCACGGGGCGGGCTGAAATCGGCCGAGCTTTGCGAGCTTAGATCATCACCGCCAAAAAAACGCGCAAGGCGTTGCAGTGCAGCAGCATCCGCACGACGCTGCGTCGATGATGATGTGCTGACAGTACATGAAGAAGCAGCATCGTCCACAAACTGAGCACCTGCAGATGCATCGGTGGCTGCAAGCCGATCTTCTGGCATCGAGGCCTCTCCGCTCTGAATACGCGAGCCGGGGCCGAACCAACTCGCGTTTCCACGCAGTGCCAGGTCGTGCGTGGCTCGGCGGAGCCAGTCGGCCATGACTGACTGGACTGGAACAAATGCCGCGCAGGATGCGAATTACCCTTGACAAAATGACATGAAGCAATCCATAATTTTGCGTCATCAAAGCATCGAGGGAGGTAAGGACGACGGGCACTTGTTTTTTACTTCTCCCCACACCCACTCAGCAGCTTTTTGCACCCTCCGTCGGTGTGCTGGACAGCAATCACTGCTGAATGCAGAGGCTAGGCGCAATGCAGCTTTCGCAAGACAGCGTCGACTGCGTCAATGGGTCCAGGGCAGGCCCCCCCCCCCCACTGCTGAGGTTTCTTCGCGCAGAAGCTGGATACAGCCCACTGGCGCAATGCAGCTTTCGCAAGACAGCGTCGACTGCTCCGCACAGGAATTAATCACGAGTCCATGGCAAATGACCCCACTTGCGGAGCACGCGCTTGGCGCGTTGCCGTGCAAGATCTTCCACCTCATCCAATTCCAGCCTTTCGCGTTCGCTTGGATTCTGGACATAAAGAAAGCCTCTGCTCACGAGTCGTCGTACAGTTCCGTTCGAGAGAAGGTTGGCAAGGACCATCTCGTCCTCCGGCGTGTGTGTAGCCTTCCAAGAACAGCAGTACCAATGATCCGCGGAGTCCTTGCTCAAACCCAGGGTTCTCTGAACGCGAACAGCATCGTTGAAAGCTTCCCACTCCACGGCATCCAAGTTCAGCCGTCGCCGAAGCTCTGGATTATTCACGTGCTGAAGACCTGTTCGCACCCGAAAGATAATCTCCGAGTCCGAGGCAGGCCGAAGCATTTCATTTATTTCCCAGTCCGTCCAGCAGCTGTCTTCCCGGTAGCTCTTAAGAATGCTTGGATGCAGTTTATCCACTCTCGGATATTGAGGTCTGCGAGAGCGCATCATTCGAAGAGTCCGACGTCTTCGATGCGGAGGACAGCATGCAGGCACGAGCATGGCAACGCCTGCACCCCTCCAGAGTCCAGGACACTCCTCGAGCCCCACACAACAGCCGGTCAAATGCCATGCATATCCTGCACCTGGAGCTGCAAAGCACGGCTTCATCACGACGGCCTGCAGCTACGTCGAACACGACTGTGATCCGATCGATCGTCGAACGTGAAACAGAACTCCACTGGCGGAATGCAGCTTTCGCAAGACAGCGTCGACCACTCCCGCCGTGCCTGGATGTCCGGTTTTATCGCATGCCACATGTCTCGACCTTCTACACGACTGTGATGCGATCGATCGTCGAACGTGAAACAGAACTCCACTGGCGGAATGCAGCTTTCGCAAGACAGCGTCGACCGCTCCCGCCGTGCCTGGATGTCCGGTTTTATCGCATGCCACATGTCTCGACCTTCTACACGACTGTGATGCGATCGATCGTCGAACGTGAAACAGAACTCCACTGGCGGAATGCGGCTTTCGCAAGACAGCGTCGACCGCTCCCGCCGTGCCTGGATGTCCGGCAACCGCCGAATTAAGCGTAGTCCTGGACAAGTGAAAGGATCAGCTCGCGGACTGTTGTTCCTCATCTGATGGGTCAGGCAATTCGATAATCTCGCGCTGCGGCACCGTGACATCGAGGGCCTCCAAGAGCCGTGTCACAGCTGCAAACGCCTCCAGCAGAAGCCCTTGATGTCCCTTCAATGCTGCAGGCGGTGCAGGATCAGCATCATTAGGACGAAAGGACATGCGCAAGAGGTTCAATTGCGTGAAGACCCAACCTCGATCGGCAGGTGTGCTCTCCACCACTCTCCGCAATTCTTCTGGGTCTGTCACGTGCTTCAGCAGAAGATCGCCTGCTTCAGGTGCGACCGCAGCAATGGTGAGATTACATATTTGCAATGCCGGGAGATCCGGCAGGTCGCGAAGCGCCAGAGACAAAGCGTCGCACCGAGTGCCCACATCCGGATTGCGCGTCCACGGCAGCGGCACCGTGACTTCGAGGGCCTCCAAGAGTCGTGTCACGGCTGCAAACGCCTCCAGCAGAAGCCCTTGATGTCCCTTCAATGCTGCAGGCGGTGCAGGATCATCGTCATTAGGACCAAAGGACATGCGCAAGAGGGCCAATTGCGTGAAGACCCAACCTCGCTCGGCAGGTGTGCTCTGCGCCACTCTCTGCAATTCTTCCGGGTCTGTCACGCGCTTCAGCAAAAGATCGCCTGCTTCAGGTGCGACCGCAGCAATGGCGAGATAACATATTTGCAATGCCGGGAGATCCGGCAGGTCGCGAAGCGCCACAGACAAAGCATTGTAGCGAGTGCGCACATCGGGATTGCACGTCCGCCGCAACGTTGCCATGGCCAGGAGGACTGAAAGTCAACTCGAGAGATGGCGCTGCGGAATGTTGACACCTGGAGCTGCAAAGCACGGCTTCATCACGACGGCCTGCAGCTACGTCGATTAGATTTTGTCGCATGCCACATGTCTCGACCTGCCACACGACTGTGATCCGATCGATCGTCGGACGTGAAACAGAACTCCACTGGCGGAATGCAGCTTTCGCAAGACAGCGTCGACCGCTCCCGCCGTGCCTGGATGTCCGGCAACCGCCGAATTAAACAAAGTACAAGTTCCGCAAGGACACAGAATCCGGCAGGTCTCTTCTCGACCCACCACACTACTGTGATCCTATCAATCGTCAGACACGTGAAGCAGAACGGCGCATTGCAACCGCACTGGCTCCGAATTACGAATTCCTCTAACAACACCGTGCCTAACGCACAACGTTTAGTCTAAGTCTTGAACCAAACGAAGGTGGTTTCCCGGAATCCTTCGCAGATACCGCACTGGTTTGGGACTGCCGTGGTCATCAGATTTGGTGCCAAGACCATGCCACCGAAGACTCATGTAATCTTCTAGGTGCAGGAAAGCAAAGGATCGAGCACGGCTCGCATCGTGCAGCCAGCCACAAGCATCACGTCCGATGCATTTCAGCCGCGGAAATACGATCTCCTGGGCATCACGACAAAAGCTTCGAAGTTCCAAAGATAACTTCGTGTTCGCGAAGAGCAAGCTGCGCGTGAGACGAGGACACCATTTCCGGCCTCGAAGCTCCAGGCATGATGTCGCCACGCAATCATTTCGCCATGCTTGCCACGGAGCGTTCAGCAAGCTGATCAAAGTTTGCCCCAGAAAGCATTCTCTATGATTCAGTTCCAAGCAAGACCTTTCCTCTATATATTCTCGCCACGGCACAACAGTCAGACTGCTCATAATCCGCCTTCGAAGAAGTTCCTCACAGGAAGCTTTGCAGCGCCTGATCAATTCGAAGTGTTCGTTCAGGTTCCGGACATCCTGAAAGTCCCACTGCACCTCCAGAATGAAATCCACCCCCGCGAAATCCAACACGAGCGACCAGGGCACCCCAGACGACATGACGATCGAACAAGCGATAGCAGATCACTGCAGCTTCTGGAGCCGTCACAAGGACACGAGCATGATCGACAGCACAGCTCAGAATCCGGCATCGACGGAACTAAAGGAAGGGCAACTGTTTAGAACTTCGCCTCACACCCACTCAGCAGCTTTTTGCACAAAGGGTCGGTGTGCTGGCCAGCAATCACTGCTGCGTGCAGAGGCTAGGCGCAATGCAGCTTTCGCAAGACAGCGTCGACCGCGTCAATGGGTCCAAACCTTCTTTCACAGCACAGACGGGCAGCTCTTCCACACGTCTCATCTCGCCCGACCTTGCAAGCCACGTCATTCGATCGCTTGCAATCCGGCAGTCACCGAATTAGGCGAATTACAAATTCAGAAGCCAGCAGGTCTTTGACGCTGCTCCAATGACCTCTTGCGGCGACTGCCGCTTCGAATTATGCGAGAGCGCAGCTACACGTTGTCCGGCTCAGTACAAGTTGCCCAGGTCAATGTCAAAGAGCGATTCCTCGTCGGATTCCTCTACATGAAGAGGAGCAAGTCCAGAGCACCTCTCGAATCGGCGTTTTCGTTCCTTTTTGCCAACGACGGGCGGTGCACCGAGACCGTGCCAACACACATCCATGTAATCTTCGATGTGCACCATAGCAAAACATTTGCCTTCGTAGTGGACCCACCAAGCGGCCTCACGTCCTAGCGGCACCAAGAACGGGAACACGATCTTCTGGCCGGACATCGCCGTCAGGTCGAGAGAAAGCTTTCTATTCAAGAAGAGGAGCGATCGCGTCAGCCGAGGGCACCATTTACGAGCTGTCAGTTGGAAGCCGGCTCTTGCACAGGGATGTTCTCTGAGAGGCATGATTTCGAAACTGGACATCGTGCCAGCGCAAACAAGTCGATGGCAGGAAGCCTCGCAACGCTGCACCAGCTGCATGTGTGCATCCAGGTCCTCCACCTCGGACCAGTCCCATATCAAGTCAAGCTCAAAAATCACGCCTGCGAAATCCAGCACCAACGACCATGGCACTCCGGAAGGCATGGCGCCCTAAACCCGGTCGGGCTTCCTCATGCTTGCAGCAACAAATAATTCGGCGCAACCATGGAAAGAATAACCGATGAAGCAAGTCAACGAATCTCACACACACGAACACGTCTCGATCGAACGACTCCAAGCCTGTCTTTCTTCAACACAGTGAACGTGACGACGATACCGAAACGTGCAGCCGAGGTACAGCGGGCCCGAACCAGCTCGTGCCGACCGATACAATGCTTCGTCGCGCGTGGCTCGGCGGAGGCTTGCATGCAAGAATCATGCAAGAACTGCAAGTCCGTTGTTTTCTTGTCCCCAGCACGATGCTGTCGCGACAAGATTCCCGGCCTCGACCCTGGGCTCGGGCTTTACCCAAGCTCTGCCAGCCAAGCATCTTCCGGTGACTCCTTTGGCCAAAGGAAATCGCAAATGAGGGCGGCGGCGTCGTCGCCCAGCTCGTTCTTGTAGTGGAGCCATCCAGCCTCGTAGCACGTGTCACAAATTGTCCAGGGGTAGTGATGCCACAACGTGTCTCGGCAAAGCAGACAGTGTTCAGGGCTGCAGGACCAAGAGCTGCGCCGGGTACACCATTCAAAAACCCTGTAGCCGAACACCCTCTCGCTTGGAGAGGCCTTTTCGACTCGTTGTTGCATCAAGTCGGGCCGAACGGCGATGAGCTCGCCATGCGTGCATCCGATCCCTCTTTCGAGTGATGCAAGCGGTCGCGCCGCTGAATCCATGCTTCGGGATATCTTACAGCTGTCACCGGCACGCCAAGCTTTCGCAAGACAGCGTCCACTTGCCTGTGCACCGTCGAGTCTATAGCAGAACCACAGAACTCGAGCACGAGCCGCTCAGCTCGAAGAAAAAAGAAACATGCGAAGAAGGGCAACACAATTGAACGCTGCCTAACAACAGCGACCCCTCAGAGTGGACATCGTGAACCTGATGATGCAACATCGAGAGGATGCGAAAAGCAGAAAGCTCAGCACAGGGGACACCGAACGGCGTTTTTTTTTCGAGCAGAAGCAAAGCCAGCCCCGCGAGGGATTACTGCTTCGGCAATGAAGTGGCCGCGGCGTTGAAGATGTGGCGACAACAGTGGGGCAGACTCACAACCGCGTTCTAGTGGGCAGGGTGAGAGTATCGAGGAAGGGTGGACACCTTGTCGCGAACATCTTGGATGAGATTCGTGACTGTATTCTCTAGAATTTTGATGCTCCTAGACTGTTGGGCCACGGACTCGCGAATTTCGCTCAGTTCCTGTTCCTGCTCTCGAACTTGTCGTTGTAAGCCGTCCAATAGTTGTTGCTGAATCTGTCGAACAGAGGCTTCTTCGACTCGCTGTTGCATCAAGTCGGAACGAACGGCGATGAGCTCGACCTGCGTGTATCTGATCCATCTTTCCAGTGATGCGAGCGGCTGAAACGCCGAGTCCATGCTTCGGGATATCCGTCAGTCGTGACGGACACGCAGGCACACCGAACCTTCGCAAGACAGCGTCCACCCGGCCGCACTGCGGAGACTAGCAGGACCACAGAAATCGAGCCCAAGCTAAGCAGCGCGTTCCAAGGACAGTAGCTAAATTGAACCTCACTGAGCCAAATGCAGCGTCGCCTCAGAACGGACATCGTGTACCTGATGCCAACCACATGGAAGCTGTGAACAGCAACGCACAGCACAGGGGACACCGAACAGCTTTTTGGGCAGAAGCACAGCCAGCCCCGCGAGGGATTGCTGCTGCGCCGCACTTTCGCAAGACAGCATCCATGCGGTTGCAAAGCTATTCTAAATCTGCCTATCAGCTACAACAGCAGCTTCATCCTTCGCCACCCACTCTCGCGCTTTCAGGAAGCGCACGTACGCTGTCAAATAGCGCATGTGCACGAACGTCACTGACACGGCTTGCACCGCTGCAGCCTCCATTTCTGACTCCGACATACTAAAAGCTCGCCAGTTCCAGGAAACGCTCCAATGCAACCCTCTCTTGTCGTTAGACAATGTTTGGAAAAGGCCTGCTCGGGGCATCAGCCAAGCGAGAAGGCCACTGACCACGTTGTGCAGCTCGTCCGGCACAAACCCGTAGCTTTCCTCGTCCGTCGTGTCGTAGCATTCCTCAGGGATGCATGGAGACAGGCTCGCGACCAGGCGGTGCGCCGCAAACTTCATGGTGCCCTCCCGAGTTGCCTCACAGGCTTTCGGCAACTCCGGCAACATCGTAGGCTCGACCCCATCAGGTCGCCACCCCTCCAGTCGGCAACGCTTCAACGGCAAGAGGACGTGCAGGTTCTGGAGCAAGACCTCGCGTCAAACAGGCAAACGCAAACCACCTGCAAGTGAGGACAACAAATAGCAACAAATAAAGCCGCGTACACTCGATTCTCTAACACTTTGATAACCGGCACAGCGACGGTCAAGGGCTTGTGCTGAAAGGAAGGCAGGTTTCTGTGCCTCTTGCCGCGGAGCTGCTGGCCACAGGCATCCCCAGCGGCTTCGTGCTCTTCTCGCGTGACTGCATCGATTCTGGCCGTCTTGCGCGTGCAGGCGCGCACGTCTGAGCTGTAGGCAGGTTTGTTTAAAAAGCCCTTCTGCCCAGGCCGAATTACTACGTACTTCATGGCTTCGTCGAGCATCTCCAATGACATCTGGGGCGACGGAGCATGCAACTGGGTCTTGGCGACCAGAAACTCGTGCCACTTGCACACAGTCGGAGCCCAAGTATCCCGGCGCATGAACTCCCAGCAGACACCCGCAGCAGCTTCGCCCGGATGCAGGCATCGAGCAACTGACTGCCTCCCTACATTTTCGCAAGACTGCGTCGGCGCGGTTCGGCAGACAAGCCAAATCCGCGGAGTCGCAGAGTCTGGGTCTTCGCCATCAACAAGCATATCAGACACATCCTGACAGGGTTGGACAGCCAGGACATATGCTTCCACGTACTGTTCCAAAAGGGCGTTCCAGTGGACGTTCTTCACGGCGCACAAAAGCCTTCTGCCGGCGTCGCTGATGCCTTGCTCCATTTCAAACAAGACCAGTGCACTAGAAAGAAGCCGCACCTCGCACACAGTAGACGCCCACCGATTCGTTTGTCGTGGTTCGCGCTTTTCGCCGACCAAAGAACTCGGCTCGGCTCGAGAAAGCATTGCTGGCGGGTGACTGGCAACGAACGAGAGCCCGATGCTGCATAGACAAGAAGGAAAATGCAACTAGCCCTTGCAGAAGCAGCACAGCCGCGACCGGGTGCCTCTTCTCTGCGCTCCATCCGCAGCCTTTGCGAAACACAACAAAAGTTCAGTATAGTGAGTGACAGCTGTCGACTTGATATGAGATTTAGCATGGCAGGCGCTGTGACAACAAATGTAATTGTGCCTGCTCGTTCGTTTTGACCGGAGCGCAACTGGTGCCCGCATCATCGCACTTTCGCAAGACAGCGTCCATGCGGTTTCGCTCGGCATCTGGGATCGGAGCACTGCCGTGCATTCACGAGCCCATGCCCGCACCACTCTTTGACTGATTACGCCTAGCCGCTTCCGCGCGAGCAGCCTCCACGCGCAGGAAAAATGCGGGCTCCACGGAACAGCTGCGTGCCTTCAGCGCTGTCCTCTGTGCCTGAGCCACCATCCGAACGGCTCGCCTACCACGCCCCTCTTCATTGGCTTTGTGTGCTCGCAGCCGCTCGTTAACACCCGCCATCCGAGTCTGAATCTCAGCCTCCGAAGGACAACGACTCGATGCCCGTCCTCCCGCAGAGCTCGCTGGTGAAGATGCTCGGGAACACACAGGATTACCCTGAGACTGAGTCTCGCCAGATCTTCGTGCGAAAGTGACAGGAAGCGAGCTCTCCTTGCCAAAGGCCTGCTGGTCCAGCATCTCGCGACAACGTCTCTCCAACGTGCCCAATCGAGCTTCCCTCTTATCCAAGCCGCCCTTCACCTGCTCTATTTTGGCCACACAGTCCGCGGCAGTCCGCTGCACCTGATCTAGCCATGCCTCGCACTTGGCCACATGCTGCGCGTACAACTTCTTCAAGTCTTGCTCCACGCCCATCATTTGCTCACGTAACACGTCCGTCTGACGAGCTACTTCACTTCGATGGTGTTGCTGCAGTCGAGCCCACCACTGCTGTGCCGTATCGTCCATGGTGCGTCTGACACCTTCGGTTACTCGATCTTCAAGATGCTCCAAAGAGTCCAAACGACTGTCCTGTCGTCGAAAGCCTTCGCGATTCGACTGACGAGTCGCATGAAGGATCGTCTGCAAGACATCAGCCTTCCTCTCGACGGCTTCCAACCGCTGCAGAGCCGTTGAGTCCATGGTTCGAAATATCTTACAGTCCCGCCTGACGCACCGAGCTTTCGCAAGACAGCGTCCACTCGGCGGCGTCAGAGCGGCAAGCAAGCAAAACGTAAATCGAGCCCAGCTGAGAAACAACACAGCGAGCGAAATTGAAAACGGCTTAAATGCAGCCCCCCCCCCCCCCTCCCCCGGCGAGACCCGAGAAATCCCTTGAAGGGGATGACTACGTGCCTGCCCCTGCCCAAACCCGATCTGTCTTCGTCCAGCCTCATTCCCGACAATCGTCTTCTCGCAGCTCACAAGATCTGCGAGAGGTTTAGGGGGGGCAGTTGACATGGAAGGATAACTAAAGCAGGAGACACAGATGGAATGATATAACAAGGATCACAGGGCATTAGTCCAATCAGCCCTAAGGCGGCATCTGGCAACATTCCGAAGTGGATTCCGCGATCCATGTAGGGTCTTATTCAGAAGTTCGGGAGATATCCTATCCCCTAATTTCACAACCAAACGGCCCGCCTCGCGGAGCCGCGCCGCTGCTCGCCGCGTCTAAACCCCGATACAGGCATCGGGCAGGACTCATCCGAAAAAGAAGCACACCCAACAAAAGCAGAAACGCAACACCGACCCTTCTAGCTACGCCAGATGCCGCCGATTAATTATCTGCACCATCACGGGCTCGATGAGCCGGCCTGCACATTGACTCGCGACAA